TCTCTCTCTCTCTCTCTCTCTCTCTCTCTCTCTCTCTCTCTCTCTCTCTCTCTCTGTGTGTGTGTGTGTGTGTGTGTGTGTGTGTGTGTGTCAACTTTGTGACCGGAGGTCGTGTGGCTCTGTGTGTGTGTGTGTGTGTGTCAACTTCGTGACCGGAGGTCGTGTGGTCTTTGAAGCATTGCTTTCTGGACCGATGCTGAGAGAACATTGTGTACTGTGTTCCTTTTTTTTTTTTTTTTCAATAATTTGGACCATTTCTCGATTTATGTGTGTCATCCTTGCGCAGGGCCCATGCTAATCTTCTCTGTACCATTCCAATTTTAACGGATGTCCCGAAGGACAAGTGTACTGTGTTCCTAACTTACGGTACTGTACAATTGGCTGGTGTGTGGTTCATCATAACCCAGGTCATCATTCCTGCAAGTGACATATCACAGCACATCTCCACTGCTGGCATGGAAGCCAGTGGCACTGCAAACATGAAATTTGTAATGAACGGTGGGCTCCTCCTTTGCACAATGGATGGTGCAAATATTGAGATTGCTGAGGAGATTGGCTACGAGAACATGTTCATCTTCGGTGCTCTTGCTGATGAGACGGACGGTCTACGGCATGCCATGAAGTACCGTGAGGCGGGAAGCGATGAGCGCTTGCACCATGTCAGTCTTTCAACTTAAACGTCTCTTTGTTTCGTCCCACAAATGTTGTTTCTTTTTATCCTACCTTTTTTCTAATCTCCTCTATGACCAATTTGAATTCCATAGCACTAGTGCTGCGAACGTCTTCAAACTTCAAAAGTGTGAAATTAGCTTCGTCTTCAAACTTCAAAAGTGTGAAATTAGCTTGTAATTCGACACGTCATTGGTCTTTCTTGTTGCGGCCACATCACAATTCTGTTGCCACAGCTACAGCTCTTGAGTCAAGATGTGAATGCCGTGACTGCCCGAGAGGCTGAGACACAAAAGCTTCAAAATGTGAAACAGTTTGATGAACTTTGATTAACTCTCATATGGGCTGTGCGACGGTTGGTGATATCGGGAGAGACCAGTGTGTTGAAATCCGGAATGCAACACATATCTAACTGTTCATAAGCAGGTCATGTGTTTGAATCCTGGACGGTGCACATGTAACTGTTGGTAGACAGGCAATGAGTTGGAGTGGTTGATAAACAGGTTATGTATTCATATCCGGAATGGTACATACATATTACATACCTGTAGCTGCTGAGAAACACCTCATGAGTCAAACAAATGCCAATGACAGACACAGCAGTGTGCTTTCTGTGAACCCCCGCACGAATTCCGTCTCTAGTACTCTCTACCCATTCCCCCCCACCTCATGAGTCAAATGCCAATTCAGAGATTTGAACCTTTTTCCTACCTAATCAAATCGAATGAAATTGAAAATGAAATTTTGTGCTAGCATTCCTAACCTTTCTTACCTGGCCTCGTCGT